GTTTCAATTTTCTGAATTCTGTAATTGTTTTCTTCCAATTGAAGTAATTAGTTCATTTATTGGATCAAGAGGGACCATTACAAGTTTTTGCATACATTTTGGAAAAGATTTAAATTGGAAAGAAATATTCTAAAGGAAATTTACATTGTGACATTGAAGACTTCAATATCAATCCTAAGAAATAAATTATACTCTAACTGATCAAGATTAAAATCGTTGTGTACTTTATTATTTTTTTAGCCTCAATTATTCCTATTGTTTGTTATCCTTTGCGTTCAGCAGCTAGCTTGATGGAGCAAGAAGTATGTAATTTATTTACATAATAAATTATTAATTAAAAAATACAGATTCTAACCAACTATCCGTTTACAATCGGTTTCATTCGTAGTTTATCAATATGTTTTCATCGGAACCTGTTTTGAGTGGTAATTTAAGTTCTAACCCATTCTCTTTATTCTCTGATTCTATCTCGACCATAATTTAATAACTTCAGAGCTCAAACGGTGATTACTGATTACGGAAATCTTTGAGACGACAAATCGCAAAGGATGAAGCGGGGCGAACAGTTGAGCGGGAAGATAAAGAAAGTTGGGCGAAAACAATGATGGCCGTTATATATTCCGGCGGAAAAATGCTGCAAAGTTAATTTCTAAGTGCGAGGGACTGAGGAGGCGGGGTGGGGAGAGGACAAAGGGAGGAATGCGCCTTTGTGGAGCGGTGATTATCAAAGGATTGAAACGGCGAAGACGCAGACATAAACCTAGAGAAGCATTGGTGGGGGGGGGGGGTTGGTTACTGGTTACTAAGGTCAACAAGCGTTAGTGGTTAGGGGGTGTTTATGTTACTAGTTACTATAAATGAGACGTACGAGGTAGTATAACCAAGCATATACAACATATATGGTGGTTGTGTATGTGGTTTACTCTGGTGGCTAAAAAGGGAAATACATGGATCTGTCTGTGGAGGGGAATTGATTGATTAGATAAGCAGGAGAATGAAAAAGTGGGTAGGTATAGGTGGATTTATTTTATGTGAGATAAAAAGGATTGATACAATAAGGTGGCGAGTACAGTGGACAAATAAAAGGGAGTGGGATGTGTTATGTATGTGGAGATAGAGGTGGATTGTTGAGATAAGAATATGAATGAAAAATATGTAATTAATTAAGTAGGTGGATCCATTTTATGTGTGGAGATAAGGTTGATTGATTAGATAAGGGGGAAAGTATAGTGGATAAATGAGAGATGTGGATATATTATATGTCGAGATAAAGAGGTGAACTGATAAGTATACAAATGAAAAATAGGTAATTAATAAAGAAGGTGGATCCATTTTATGTGTGGAGATAAGGATGATTGATAAGATAAGGGGGAGAGTGTAAAATGGATAAATAATAAGATATGTGGATGTATTATTAACGTGTAGATAAGGAGGTGGATTGATAAGATAGACATCCAAATAAATAGGTACTGTAGGTAAATGATAAGAGGGTTAGATCTACTATAGCTGTAAGGGGTGGATCAGGTGAAAATGTATAAATTATCGCAGAGATTGGTCTACTAGTAAGCTGAGACACGAATTTATGTATCGAATCTGTAATTATTCCTGTATTCTGTAACTGTTTTATATCTGTAATTATTACATTACGTACATAATCAATACAAATTAATCAATATAAATTATTTACAAGGGGATATTGACTAGACGACAACAGTAAATATGTTCGTAATGTATCAATAAATAAGAAAACGTTACGTAGAATATTTTAATATCCTTAGAGCAACGCAAATAGTGAAACAAATAAAATTCACATACACGTCATAATATCAACACTTAATTAAATACATTTATTTCAATCAACATAATTTATTATTGTCGAGAAACAACGTTCAACTCAATCATGTACACGTAAACACTGTTCTTTATACCCTTCTCACAGTTCCCCCTCTAATGATGCGCCGAGTAAGCAACCCTTTAGCTGAACGTCTATATAGGAGGGGAGGGGTGGCGGGGGGTTTCTCACATCTTTCTTTTCATTTTCTTGAGCGTTTCCCGCTCGGAGTCACTAATTGCACATTCTTGGCATAGTTTCTGGCCCCGGCCGCTCCCGGACTTATTTTCGCGCCCCCTTCGTCCCCCCACAATAACCCCCTTTCCCGCCCCTCAAACTGTCTCTTTGACAGAAATGATATCGTTATGAGTCTGCGAAGGTTTGTCACAAACGGTAATCGAATAGAGAAGCTCTCTTATATAATTACCCCTCCTTCACCCCCTTTGTTTAGGTTTTGCTTCGACGTTCATCAAAGATGTTTTCCCCGTCGAGTTTATAATCTAATAACGTTTCTACAACTATTTTCGCTCCCTCTGTTATCCAGCATTAATATGTTCTCGCTTTGCCGCCTCAGTGGGTTTTAAAAGCGTTTTGCTCTTGGTTCATTCGTTTGGGGGGTTTTTCTACTGTTTTGTTTGGTTCATAAAGTAATTTTGTTTGGGTATTATAAGTTTTTCAGGTTTTATTTCAAGTCATAATTGTACTCGTAAATGTGTGTTTAATACGTCAAAATGTTGTGTACTTTTATTTCATATAATAACAAACTTTTTGTTGATATATCTTTTAAATGTTTTTTAGAATATTTTAAAACCAACCAAAAAAAGTTTATTGGTATTGATTTAGTTCATTACCTCTACTGTTTTATGATAATTGAGAGTTATATTGATTTAGGGTCTAAAGGAAATATAGTCTTGTATTACATAACATCAACTTGAACTAAGAAGAATTGGTAAAAAGAAATTCTACTCAGAATTGAACTGACAACCTTACGAATTTAAGGCTTGCTTTCACATACCAGCCTCTGCTACAAATTTGTTGAAGTGAGTTGGAATACCACTTTATTTAGGGTATAAAACCGAAATTCTATACTGTGGCTAATTCGATGGGAAAAAATTTGATTGAGCTATCAGCTGTCTTTCCTTAAAGTCCTATATTCCATACTATCCGTGTGCTAAAGTCCTATAATCCATACTGTTCTGTGTGCTAAATTCCTATAATCCTTACTGTCTGTGTGCTAAAGTCCTATAATCCTTACTGACTGCGTGCTAAATTCCTATAATCCTTACTGTCTGTGTGCTAAAGTCCTATAATCCTTACTGACTGTGTGCTAAAGTCCTATAATCCATACTGTTCTGTGTGCTAAATTCCTATAATCCTTACTGTCTGTGTGCTAAAGTCCTATAATCCTTACTGACTGTGTGCTAAAGTCCTATAATCCTTACTGACTGTGTGCTAAATTCCTATATTCCATACTATCCGTGTGCTAAAGTCCTATAATCCTTACTGACTGTGTGCTAAAGTCCTATAATCCATACTGTTCTGTTTGCTAAATTCCTATAATCCATACTGTCCATGTGCTAAAGTCCTATAATCCTTACCCTCTGTATGCTAAAGTCCTATAATCCATACTGTCCGTATGCTTAAGTCCTATTAGGCCTATCTACACTGTCTCTGTGCTAAAGTCTTATAATCCATACTGTTTGTGTCCTGAATCCTATAATCCACACAGTCTTTGTGCTAAAGACCTATAATCAATACTGTTCTTTGTGCTAAATTCATATAATCCCTACTGTCTGTGTGCTAAAGTCATATAATCCCTACTGTCTGTGTGCTAAAGTCCTATAATCCATACCCTCTGTATGCTTAAGTCTTATAATCCTTACTCTTCTGTGAGCTTAAGACCTGTAATCCACACTGTCTGTGTACTTAAGTCATATAATCCATACTGCCCGTGTGCTTAAGTCATATAATCCATACTGCCCGTGTGCTTAAGTCCTATAATCCATACTGTCCGTGTGCCTAAGTCCTATAATCCAGTGCTCTATAGTCTGAGATGGTTGCATCACACCATGATGTACGATAGCGCACCGTTGTTGCAACTTCTCCGCAGTTGTTCTTGATGACCATTGGCCAACCAGGTTCATTTGTCTCTTAAAGGAAACTGTCTTACACTTTCTCCTCTATGTCTTTAATTAGCGGCAGATCCTGTCTAATTTCCTTTTGCAGGAATATCAACGCCTTTTCAAACCAATTATGTTGAAATGTTAATAGTCGCGATTAGTTAGCTGTAAGTGTTGAGGTTGGGTGAATTAAAAAAGAAATTTACTTCTATAATTTTTAGGCAAAATAATTGGCCTTTTTTAATATTTCAGCCCAATTGTTTCTTAAGTCATAGTAATGTTTCAATCAAACAGGTCCACCCACAGAAAGTATTAAATTTAAAGCTACATTGGTATTACAAATCCTTCTCAAAAACTCTTAAAATTTTGTATTAGTTTGTGTTTATTTTTGTGTATATTTTACCTTTTTACAATTTTTCATCATCACACAATTCCATTCACACCCAGCACCATTTAAGGAGATGTAATCCAGCTTTGATATGTGATATGTGATGAGAGCAAGTAAATTGTGCAATCAGAGCAAGCCATTGCTATTCGTGGTCTTCTCTTCTTACCTTTGTCGGATTGTTTACACCGTATCATTGTCGTAAAAGGTCATCGTGACTTTTCATTCAACACCTCCTAGTCCTTCTCCTACTTGTTTCTTGTACAGTACTTTTAGTAAACATTTTGATCATAAATGCTTATATATTATTACTACACAAAGGTTCTAATACTGATTGCACACATTTCCCAGACATTTTGTTCGTAGGTCTACATGTTTTACCACAAACATTGTTTTTAGGACTCAAAAATGCTTTGTAACTCAAATCCCCATCAAAATGTTGTGTATTATGCTAGGGATCATACCGGTCCTTCCTGCACAGAAAACTACTAAACTAGAAAACACCTAATTTTCACACACCATATTTTTTTTACTAGTCGTATAAGTGATGCTCATAGGTGTATAGGCATAAAGATAATTAGAAATTTTATTGTTCTGATTGTTAACATTTTGTTTCAAAGTAAAATCTTTTTCGGAAACTAATCGTAGGAATTTTTGCTTACAGGACGCAACGAGCTGATCGCACGATACATCAAACTACGCACCGGCAAGACGAGGACCCGCAAACAAGTCAGCTCTCACATCCAGGTGTTGGCGAGGCGCAAACTACGCGAGATACAGGCTAAGCTCAAGGTGGTAAGTCTTCTGTTAGGCGACGGCTAGGTAGCAGATACAGACCACAATTAGCCATGAGACGGACAATGATAAGTATGCGACTAAAAATGTCTATTTTTCAAAAATAATTGAACAGGTTGGTTCTCCAACAATGTCATTTTTCTTTGTTTGGAAACCAAGAGCATTTGGTAGCCCAGTTTTTAAGATTGGTTTTATATTTCACCATTGATTATGATACATCCAAAGTCGGTAGCGGTTTAAAATTTGAGAAAAAAGTATATTTACAATCCCATTTTTCCTATGGTTTGGAATCACAACAGTCGGAAAACTTATTTAGCTTACTTGTTTTGTCCAAATTTAATGAAAAATCAGAGAGTTGATCATCATTATGTTTTGTAACAAAAAATTTGTTTAAACTGTGTCTGGTATCTAGCTTAGCCACTATTAAATTAGATATGTAAGCTTGAACATTTTGTTAATAATCAGAGTTTATCAATTGCAAGTAGAACCTTATGTTGGTCTGGATAACACGGTTATTATTAAACATTTTTAACCGTATCAGCCGAAAGATAAATAATTACCGTAAAATTTCATAAAGCTGCCCTAGAAGTTGTACATAATTGAATCGTTTTAATGAAATTTAGCAAGAATTGTTTGTGCATCTAAATTTCATAAATAATTAACCTATTGTTGAAAAATTAAAATAAAAAATTTGTAATACAAAGTGACGTTGGACATTAAGAGTTGCTTTGTAAGCGTTAGTAATCAAAAGAGGGATTTAGAATATGCAAACTACAGACATATTTAAATCAAACCAACCAATTCAACAAAATAATACCTATAACGAATTTAATACATTTAGTTGAACAGTAGGGGTGTAGTGTAAGTAGTTAATATGCTCATAGCAGAGTATGTCAGTCTAAAAAAATTTACGTTTAGAAGACATTAATTAATATATGAATCAGAAAGCCAATTTCACCAAACTAGCAAGAAGGATTTGCAAAACTAAAGATCTATTTCCATCATAGCTACATGTTTAAAATCGTCAAAAGTGGAGTCACTTATGTAATATTTAGAGGAACTATAGTGTTTACATACAATGCAAGTGGTAGAGCTTGTTGGAGACTAAACAGTAATCATTTAGTAAAAGGTAGTAGGTGTGATCTGCATAATTATAGACCTGTATCCATCATACCGACAATTTCAAAAATCATTGAAACTTTTTAAAACAATCTAATATTTGTTTGATAGTGGCGTCGTAGTAGTGCTCGAAAATAATTACTTACTAGGAGTTTGCTGGATCTACACAACTATAGACCTATCTCCATCGTGCTGATTTTTTGAAAATATTCTAAATGTTTGCTCGGACGGTATTGGAGTGGTGTGGTGAAAGTGGTGGTGTGTACGTAGGTGGTCCCGCAAGATCATGCAGCCAAGGAGAAGGCCTTGCAGACCATGTCATCAATGTCTTCGGCGCAGATAGTCAGCGCGACGGCGATTCACAACAAGGCGACGGCCGCGGGGTTGGCGTCACTGGGGCTCGCTTCTCCGGTGTCGTATCCGGGCGCGGTGAGTACCACCACACTCACCACCACCACTAACCTTACCGCTCTGATTAACCCCGCTTAAGCTATTTAACGATAAGGATTTTTTGATAAGTTTTCTTATTTACTAGGGTTTTCGATTATTTTAGTGTGTTTTTTCATTGTTTTGACGTGAAGTTTTACAAAAGAATGTATTTGCCGTTACTAAACGGCTGATCATAAAATGGGAATATAGAAATTAAGTTTTTTTTTTCAAGCTTGGAATGTAGCGAGTGAAAAGGAATACATTTATTAGATTACCTTGATTTTTTCCATCTGTAAGTAAGGTTTTTGAACTAGTTTAAACTAAATCTAATACATAAATTAAGTTTCTAAAACTGGGATGATAAAAGAAAATTTATAAATAAATACACTAACTCACATAAGAAAAAAGTTTGAGTTTTTATTACTCCTAAAAGTTAACATCCTGTTGCCATTTCAGTTAGGTAGTTGTACAATAAAAATTAACGTTAAATCGAGGCTCCAACAGTGTAAACATCGTTTCTAATACACCACTTTCAACCGAAATAAACCGAAAGTGCATCTAATTGTCAATTATAGAATCTCTTTAACTGTTAAAATTGGTACTGTTCATATCTTTGTGTAGATAGGTAAGCAAAATACTTTGTTAGCAGTTTAGAATAGTGATGAAAATGAGTAGATGTGTCAAAAAAAAAAAATACAGGTAGTCCTGATAAAATTAAATTTTGTAAAAAAATGTCAAACTTACAATTACTTCAAACAAATTTTTAACAATAGGCCTAGTAAATTATTTGCTATAAAGCATGTTAACAAGTTTTCCATGACGTATAAATTCAAAACAATTGTTACAGTAAAAACAATCTTTAAAGATTGCAGTCTACAAAATAAGCATTTACAATAAATAAAAAAAAAAATCTCTTATTTTCATCGAAGAAGTTTTACATTTGAGATAAATACTCTATTAGATACAGAAGAAATTCACAAATACAGTATAATCAAAAGAAATATTCTGAGAACGTTCTAAATAAAAGAACAGTTGTTGTTCTGCGTGAAATGTAAAGGAAAATGAAAACATTCCCTCTCTGCACTCTTGGAATTTTTAGTCCTTTTATAATTTTGTCTCAATTCATAATTTCTACCTCGAAATCAAAGAAATAAAGACTTTGTGTTTTGAATTTCTTAAGTTTATTAGTTTTCTCTATCCGCCGATAACTGTAAATAGAGTTAAATTTTAAACAAAGGAAACCGTAGCAGTTTATAAAAGTTCGATTCGTTTAAAGATTCAATATAATTAAATTATTTTAGGTCTAAAAAATATGTACAATTTACCTCAAAGTTCCATGTTAGTGATGGTTACCAAATAAATAATGTTTTCCTACAGTTACCTAACAATGTACATGTTCTCTCACTGATTTGAGAAAGCAAAGTGGCCAATTCGCTCATCAGTGAGACAATGTTAACATTGTCTCACTCTAATTACTTTGTCTCACTCCAGATTTGCAACGTGAAGGCACGAAATAGTGAGCGCATAACATGCAGGCAATGTCGTATGCACGCGAAATACGTTGGCAGCACTGGCTGTAAATCAGCTGGTCAGCTGTTGTACTGTTGTATTTGTCACTTCACATTAAATGTTATATTAAAAGTTCACTTCTGTGTAAAATAGGTTATGTTTCTTCACCAATTTATTTGTTTTATGGTAACTGTAGGAAAAGTATAATGTGCAACTCGAGTTCAAAGTACAATTGCCTCACTCGAGAAACCATTCCTCACTACTCGCCTACGGCTCGTGAGTAAGGATTTCTCTCGAGTGAGTCAATTGCTCACTTTTCTCACTAGTTGCACAAATAACTATTGCTTGGGTAAAAATTTGGCTTGGAAATAATTACTGTAGTTGGTAATTAAAAATTAACATTATTTCTAATATATATGCCAAAAATTCAAATATTAAAATCATGCTTTACTTACATTTATTTTTTACTTGTTTCAGTTCTGGCAACCTGGATTGCAGCCTGGTACATCACAAGAGTAAGTTTCTTTCATCACACATTTTAGCTCAATTCAAAATAAGGATCAGCTGTTTACAACTAACATTTGAACTAGCCTATATAAGGAAAGTTGGTCGGTATCAGTGTATCGTTGAAAGCAAATTATAAAAAATCAAAACACTACGAGGTCGAAGCCCTAAAGGACCTTTTTAATAACCATTCGTCACTCCACTACACCAAGCTTTAAAATGACACCACAGTTGTAAAAATCCGTTAAGAAGGACAGGCCAGCTTTTATAAACGGGCAGACTGGGCATATGCCCAGGGGCGTCGGTGGCTTGGGGGCACCCAGCGGGGCCCCCCAGCACTGCCCGCCAGCACCAGGAAAAAAGGGGGGGTTGCTGCTCTAGGGTTTGCCCAGGGCTCCACTGACCCTTAACGCGGCCCTCAAGAAGGACCACTGTAAAAGGGATGTAACGGAAAACCCTTTTTGCATTAAGTATATAGATTAGTTACTCATCCGTTAGGTTACATCAGTTTAAGAATCGGAGAAACACTTGCTCTATTGACGGAGCTTCAGTCAATGAAGTAATGCATATTTCATGGAGCCTCATGCATTTAACAGCTGTTTGTTTACTTGTTATCCAATTCCGATTCCGCTTCATTTATCACTGCAGAGTTTCTCAATGGCTTTGCTTCCTTCCGCATATTTTTCACCCGGAAACCTTAGTCTTGTTTATGCAACGGTATTCCCTCGCACTTCCTCTTGGAGAAAAATGGTAGAAAGCTTCTTCTTTTGAATTTTAAAAGATGTGTTTGGGTTCCGATTGGAATGCTTGTTAAATTGTTTAGGTTGCTATTGTTCTTAAGTGGGCAGGTTCAAGTTACCTGCCTTAGGTATCTCAGAATACATTAGAGGCAGGTAACCTGCTACGTAACCTGCCTTGCCTACTGGCCCTCGTGCAAAAACGGTTTTAAAGCTTACTCTAATTTACTTGTCGCCACTTCCATTTATAACAAAGCACTGTAGAAGATTTTCTAGACATCCTTAGGCTATGAAACGTAAAAAAACAAAAAATACTGCATAATGTACAACAAAGCTGTAAATTAATTTTATAAATTTGAAAATTACTGTACTGAAATCTCTTTTTGTATAATAAATATCTAATGGAAATCAAATCAAATCTCGTTGTTGTCTTTCCGATCTGTTCTCAATTCATTTTTTATTCCTCTGCATCGACATTTCATCATTAAAATTTAATCTAAACTAAAAAAAACATATTATAAAAGAAATTGGTGAATCAATAATAGTTTTCGAAACAACCTCTAATGTGAAAAAGTTTGAAATCCAAAATTCCAATGTTTTTTTTTTCAAAAATAAATCAAATTCTACCGCGATATTTCGTACACATACACAGTATTTATACATAAAATTAACAGTTTTCACTTTTACGTTTACGTTGAGGATAAGTAAAAGTCTCTCAGATCAGTAGACTAAAGGGGGCGTGGTCACAGCGGTCTCGGTGACTTACGACATCAGATAGCCGAATGATTTATCTTTGCTCCTCTTCTATTTACGCTGCATTAATTTTACTTTTCCATACGTTTTCTGTTCCATTTCTTTTGTTAACACATTTTCCCAACATGTTCAAGTTACTCAAGTCATCTTACTTCTTGGAGTGTTCATTGTTTTATTTACATTGATACACATTATTTCAGGCAATTCATTATTGGGTCGTTACATTACATGATAAATAGTTGGTTTCGAACTTAGAAGGGAGGGGGTTCAAGGGACTGGTCCTGTGCCCTACCACAAGAACAACTCGTTTCCCACAACTGACGTCCAAAACAAATTTTGAAAATATTGGCGATAACGTTGATAAAATTCTGTATTTTATTGAATCTGTTGAACCATATTTTATTATTGTAAGTTTTGAGAGTTATTTTACTCTACGTGGTTTAGTCCCTGAAATAAAAGAAACATCACTTGCCATCGTCAGCTCATATGTTTAAAACATTGAACGAGATTACTGAATGTGATGTTTGTTTACAGTGTGAAGCCCTTCGCCCAAGGTGGGTACCCAGGCAAGCCGTCGACGGCCGTGTCAGGAGCTGTGGTGGGGGGAGGCGACTTACAGGCCCCGCCACCTCCGCCATGGGAAGGCCGCGCCATCGCAACACACAAACTCAGGCTGGTCGAGTTCTCCGCCTTCATGGAGCAATCGCGGGAGCCTGACACGGTAATACTCACTAATTTATATGATAAGCTATGAAACTGAACTAAACTTGAAAATAACAATTATCACAGTGAATTTTGTGTTTTATCTAAAAAACGGAAGAGCCAATTCTGGCCTTGATACTTCCTGACTTTGGATTCAATACTGGTTAGGCCTACAGAATCTTCGCACCCACTTTTTGTGATAACAATAGAAATGTAAAATTAAAAACTTAGCTTGGCTCGAATATTGAGCCAATTGTACTCCTCTAGTATATTAACTTGGTCAGAATCAGGAATCAGAATTTTATTGTACGTGACCAGCTGGCGTCTGTCAACTACTTGTGGGAGCATTTCTGCGGTGTCCCTAAACTGCTCTATTTGTGTTTGGGATCCGCTAAAACACAGAGAAGTAACGGACAAAGGAAACTTTCTTATGGGGCGACCATGCGCTTTCAGCTATAGTATGTTGTGCCAGTAATATACTTGTGAAGAGCCCGTGCGGCGAGCACTGTGCGGAAATTCCTATCACACAGGGCACAGGGTCTTTTAATGTGAGCGTTATAATACGTAAGGGCAAGGGGGGTGGTGTTGGACTTTGCTGTAGACACCAGTACTAGTCACCATTGAAAATTACATTGATAATTATTAATACAATACATTAATACATACAAAGCATTAATAACCATTAATATTACATGATTAATACGTAAGGAAGAGGGGGGTGGTAATGGACTTTGCTCTAGACACCAGTGCTAGTCACCATTTAAGCGTACCACTGAATGTTCCTGTACTTTACTACTCTGTGGCTACATCGCTTCAATTTCAACTGCACTCGACTTACGACCATTGAACGTCACAAAAAATTTGCAAATATAACCCTGAAAAAATTCTAGCTCAACCATGTTATATTTCAATAATATATTTACCACTAGATGTCTATCTTCTGAAAGCCAATGTTTGATGTTAATCTTTGATATAAATATTCACTTGTTGATTTATCATATTGTTTTATTGACTACTGATTGAAACATCTGGTTTTCAGTACCACAAACACCTGTTCGTCCACATAGGCGGTTCAGCCTCGTACACAGATCCGTTGCTAGAGGTAAGTTCTCATAGAATAAAAATCTCAATCTGTGAAATCTTCAATCACTATTTATGGTTCTGTTTCAATCATGTCGTCAAATAAAATTCACTATAGGAACATATATCAGTTTCAGCGTGTTTCAATTTGTTTTAATTCAATACTCTAAGACAGGGACACTCACTTTTTTCTGTTTACTATGTTGTAATTGTGAAAACGTTCGTCTTTGATTAAATTATTAAAATTGCAAATAAAAATTAAACACTTCATAATGAACAATGTAGACAGAGTAGAAATATTTAGTCCCTTAAAAATCCCTCTAAAAGAAGTTGTTTGTTATGGATTTTTCGTGATTCTTAGATTTATATTATGAATTTTAAAAACTGAATCTATCTCTAAAGCCACATTTAAATGAGGCCAGCATACAGGTCTCTTGTGTATTCCGTGTTGCCTGAAGTAGGTAACCTGCCTGCCAACTAGTTTCTTGTAAACAAGGCTTAAGCTGTTGCCACACAATTTAATACTATACTGTATTACCGAGGCAAACAGGGTATAATATGCTGTTAATTGAGACTTTCATTATTAAAATTTTTAGAGTTTATTTGAAAATGACGTGTTGGCAAGACTGATTTAGATAGTTCAAATTATTGCCAATTTTAAACTACTAGTTTACTTCTTTCCCCCGAAGAAGCCCCTTGTATAGGCGAAATTTCAAGTTTGTTATGTTGTGAACTTTTGCAGTTTCAAATATCTGGAACTCTTTTCTTAGGTTAGTTAGTTGTGTATCCTTCTTCCTTAACGTATTGGAGTTCATTTTCTATTTCTTACAGCCCGTAGACGTGAGACAGATCTACGACAAGTTCCCGGAGAAGAAAGGCGGTCTCAAAGAGTTGTATGACAAAGGCCCGCAGAGTGCGTTCTTCCTCGTCAAGTTCTGGGCCGACCTCAACACCAACATACAGGACGAGGCGGGGGCTTTCTACGGAGTCACTAGCCAGTGAGTAGCGCAAGTATGATAGAAATATAGAATTCCCCGAATGACACGTCTATCATCCAAAAACCTAGAAACAATCAGCGTTTTTCTGTTTCCCTGATTAGAATTTTACTAAAATATTCCATTAGCTAGTTACGTTACAATTGTTTTGTATTTAAGTATCATAACTTTTTTCCCCAACAGGAAGTTTGAATTAAACAGGCATTCAGAACAGCGAGAGTCTGATTGTAGTGCTAAAGCTTTTAAGGTTATGTTATTTGCTTACTGGTTGTTAACTAACGTACCGTGTCCACAGCTGTGATTAGTGTAGAAACGAAAACTGTAAAATTAGCTGATTAGCAAGTGGGAATGATCCATCCCAGTCTAGAACGATGAGCTATATCCATGCAGTGGTAGGGAAAGTAATATTCCCTATAATTCTGTAATATTTTGTATAGTTCGGCCGCTTAGAAAACGACCTGCGCGCTAATGCTAAACCAATGCTGGAGGAGGTCGCTTTCTAAGCGGCCGAACTATAGTAGGTAAATAATTATTAATATTGATTATTTATTTAATATTATATTATTATTGATTGATTGATATATTCCTCTTTTACAGATACGAAAGCAACGAGAACATGACCATCACGTGTTCGACAAAAGTGTGTTCGTTCGGGAAACAAGTGGTGGAGAAGGTAGAGACGGAATACGCTCGGTTCGAGAACGGAAGATTTGTCTACAGGATTCATAGATCTCCGATGTGCGAGTACATGATCAACTTCATACTCAAGTTGAAGCATTTGCCGGAGAAATACATGATGAACTCCGTCCTGGAAAACTTTACCATTCTACAGGTAATGTGCAAACACTACTCGTATTTATTCTTTGCTTTATGTCGTGGACTATTGATGGAACTAGATATTCCATCCCCGTGTTAAAGTTGTTGTCAGTTTTTATTAAAATGGATGTAGTTGGATTGAGCTGATGTAAACAACTTTTTTCTGTCGATTGTGCAAGCTTTTTAACCAAGTCAAACTGATAGAATGACTTATTTGTTAAGACATAGCATCGTTTATCTCAGTTCTACTAGCTCTAGCTCAGTGTCAAAAAATAAAAAAACATATTCATCTACTTTCTTTTCTTATAAGAAACTGCCAACAGCTGGTTCATATAGATAGGATGTCTGCTTTAATATCCAATGATAAATGCTAAAGTGTAAAATCATCCCACATGGAAATAGCAAATGGTCTCGCGGTACTTGATCATCTGGAAGGTTAGTTGATTGGTCAGATTGTCTAGACCGAACTACCATATCTAGGTATTGGGTAGTGACGTTTAAGATGTTGAATTGTATCGTATGAAGCTGGGCTCATGCAACGCATCTGAAACGTTGGCAACAGTGTTTCCATACAAAAGATTTTTATCCTGACGGAAAAACATGTGTGGGATTAAAACGGGATGCGTGGTGAAATGGGATTTTCGGGATTCTGTTGTCTGTTTTTTCTTTTATAATGCTTTTATGATAAAAACTTACACCAATTGACCAAAATATTTAAGCACTACTGTGCTTGAATAATTGCTCTTTTAAAAGTTTTAAAAGAGCTATTTAAACATAATACAGTAAAATTTTACTCTATAACGAGGCATACTAGTGGGATAAAACAGGATTTCTCGTTGTATTGAAGCTGAATAAAACGGCATTTTCTCAACCTGGTAAGCGGGATTTTTGGTTTTGTCTTGGGTATACACTGGTTGGGTATTTTCAGTGTGTGTTCAAGCAGTTTTTAAAAGACCTAGATTCCACCACTTTAACCCTGAAACTGAATGAAATTTCCTACTTTGTACTTTAAGACTAATGATCAACAACACATGACTTACGTTTGACCTTTCACAGGTGGTGACAAACAGAGAAACACAGGAGACGTTGCTCTGCACGGCCTACGTGTTTGAAGTGTCCACTTCCGAACACGGAGCGCAGCATCACATATACAGATTAATAAAAGACTAGGCAGCGGCCCCCCTACCCCCCACAGTGCCTACGGTGCGTCGGCCGCCGCCCGCTCTGCTGCCGCTCACCTGGCCTCGTCAAGGCTCCGCCGCCGCTCAGTCCGGAGCTAGCTGAGCGTCGTGCGGAAGGCTAGAAGAGCGGAAGCTGTCACGCACCGCCTTGTATATAACGTGTACATACAGTGTGCAACGCAATCATTTGATCTCCTCTTTAGTCAGACTGACTACAGTTTTGAGTATTGTTTTGTATTCACATTACCGTTTAGAATCGCCTGTACTTATTGTTTTTCTTATTGAGTTTTATTCTTCGTTTTGGGTAGACTCGTGGGGAATATGCTTGTGGATTTCTCGTTTTTGCGATTCGCATTGTGATTACAAAATCTTAAAGATGTTTAAAATTTTTTGAGGTTCAAATTTTGCTACGAATTAAAAAAAATACTTTATTACTTATAGTTTTGTGACAAAATGTAGATAGTTTTTTCCACAGGTGTATTCCGGATCTGTGAATACATGAGTACCTAAAATTATAAATTGTAAAATAGTTTTAAAAATTGATGAAGAATCGAAATATAAGAAAATGTATAAACAAATATCTTCTGTGAAGATCTAGATTTACCAGGCACAAGATTCGTCATCCGCCATTTCGCTTGGGTCATGGCAGACGGTGCTTATCAATATTTTTGCTTTTAACCTTTTTGTTTGTGAAATGATTTTTTTCAAGCAGGTCTCTTCTGCCATGCATTTGATGTAACCGCAACTTTTATTTTGCCACATTTGCAAAATTGGCCTTTTGCAAATATTTTTAAGAAGGTTCTTTAACTTGTGTTTTAAAGAAATATGAAATTCTCATCATATTTTGGTGCCCTGAAATTTCAGACATATCAATTCGTTAATTCATCTAACTACAAATAAATTATAACGAGTTTTCAAAACAAATCTACTTACTAATCAAGTGAAATATCTTAGTAACATGTAGCTACTTAACTATTTTTGATTATTCAGAAATATCAAAATAGGTTACCTTAAGCATACCCAACCATTGTATTTTAGATTACGAATTTCAAAAGGTTATTGTGACAATAAATTGTACAAGCATTTAGCGTAGATTGAGAACATTGTATACAGCTTAGATTTATTTACCATATTTTTTTATACCGTAGTGTCACACCTGTCGATGACTCAAGTCAGTGCCTTCCAAATCTTCCAATGCCACACTCATAGTGATCATTAATTTATTGTAGATTAGTATTTGGTTTTTTTAACCCATAGCTTTAATTGTTATTTTTGTACTTTCTCGCGTTTAAGATAAATGATATTTATAGATTATAGTACAGAAATTATATCAAATATATAGCGTTAGGATTTAATTTTATTGTACATACAGAGTCTTTACTTAAGTGTCAGATGTGTTTTTTTTTCTTGATTTATTTCAGAAGTTTGTTTATTGTTTGAAAGTGGTGTTCCAAAGATATTTTGGTTCTCTTTTTTTTACTTTACCAGACCTGATATTGTATCTTCAATACCAGACACAATATTGTAGTTTGAAAATTAAATAATTGACCAGTAAACTATTTAGTTTTAGATTCTTGATTTACTTGTTTCCCTAATCGAAAAAAATGTAATCTTTAACCAAGTTCAATTAACGTAGAAACATAATTCTTACTTTTGTATACTCTCTTCCCTATAATCAAACTGAAGTATTTTCTAAGATCTCATAAATGATAATTATTTAGGTTAGATAACTTAAATATAAATTTTGACTGACAATTTTTTACCAATCAAAAAGTTAACAAATCTTAGAATATTACCAAAATTATGTACATTGGCCACTCTTTCCGTAGTTAACGTTTTCAGTAGTTGACCTGGAGTCTTAAGTTTTGCATACATTTTTTGAACTTATAATATGTTTTTAAAGGATTATTGACAATCAGTTTCTTTGTTCCTCTTTACAAATTATTGCTTTGCTTGGCTTGTTCAATGGAAATCAATTGAGGTTTAACCTTACTATAGCGATTTGTGTACCGTATTTTTTACAGAAGTTTTGTATCAATGAAAAGTTATCAAATAAAATTTAACAATAATCAGGAGTGTAATTCAAACATGTTGTATTGTTCACCTTTATACCTATAAAAATGATTAGTATAATTTAAATACCTAAACTTAAGCTTAAAGTGAAAGATAACAGGTAACGCTGTCCAATTTATTATATTTATTTACCTAGTTTGAATGATAAATTTATTCGTCTAAATTTGAAATCACAAGTCTATAAAAAATTCTACATTTTCCACTTCCAGCGTCCAAAAAAAAAATATTTGGCAAAAAAAATAAACCTATTGAAGTGCTTTTTGTGCAAAATATATGAGACTTATTACACTTTTATCATAGCAATTTCAAAACTTAAAGGCCTTTTCACACCGGCGTACTGGACGTACTGTACGTATGGTACGTTTGGTACGGCCAGTACGCGGTCCTTTCACACCGCACAGAAACTTCCAAAACGTACACTTGTTCGTTTGCAGTCAGACAAGTAACACTGGCTGAGCACGTGGTTTTGAAGTGTTCACTGCGCATGCGCAAGCCCATGTACGTTTTAGAAAAATCGCTCTCTGAGCAATTCACACAAAACCATCGTGTACGTACTGGACGTTCAGTACGTTCTGTACGCGCGGTGTGAACGAGCTCATATGATAACATGGGCAGCGATTTGTTGAAAAAATTCTTACTAAACGTACAGTACGTCCAGTACGCCGGTGTAAAAAGGCCTTCATGTAAACAAATATCAACAAACCACCACTTTTACCACAATCCATTTTGCTATTTCAAAGCATAGCAATATTACTTAAAACCAACCAAAAGTATAAATGTGTGTGTTATATATGATGTAACATAACGTATATCTATGTTGTATTTTTTATTTTGAGCCGAAGCTCGATTGATATAGTTTATTTCTTGTTTTGTTATTTTAAAATGTTTGTGATCTAAATATCTATCGCATATAGGTTTATCTTACACGTTTGAGTGTGGCATGACGCGACTAATGTCGTCGTCTAACGATGTTTAGTATTATTAACTCGGTTAAGCAAATGACCAAGATCCTTAGTTAGACTTTACCCTTCTTTGGTTCTTTTGTATAAATATTTTATAGATTTATCCCTAATGATTTTACGTATAAGTTAAGGTTTAAGCGATATCATTTCAAATAATTTTATTGCTTTTTAAAGACTTTTCTATGTTAACGAGTTGTTTTTATTTTGCCATATCTCGTTTGTCATCTAGACGTAGAACCTTGTGACCACTGGAGGAACTTTACACTTGTCCATTTATACAAAAATAAAAACACTCAAATTATTTGTTGTTTTACTCATCCATGCACTTTGCTTTTACTAGGCAAAAATAAATTTCAGAGCTGAGTTTTAATAATTACTCAATCATTTCATTTTGTGTACATATTTCTAGTCTAATGCAGAATTGAGTGAAGTGATCTGTGTAGCTTTTTACTGACTAAGATCAGCTGTTTTGTTAGTCGAATGAATGAATGAATGATATTATTGGCACAAAACGTACAGAATATTACAGGATGTATGTACAGGTGCTTCGTCATAAATAAAATTGTCCTTATAGAAGTTGTTTCTTTCCTTCTAGGTTTAAATACATTTGAAAATCGTTAACAAAAAGTATACTATGTTTATAAATACTAATAAAATTCAACAGTTTAATATACCAAAGGGAAAATTTAACAGTAACTATAACAGAGGATAAAACTAAGCTTACAACTATTTAACATGGTCTTAATTTAAATAAACAATATAAAACATTTGAGTATCAACAAGGTTTTAAAGCAGTTTTTTTCAGTCCAGTAGTCAGAACCATTACTTTATTAAGAGTTACGATCAAGAACAGCTGGGTTCTGACTTTGACTAGTTAGAACTACTCCATTCACAAAATTTATGCGGTTTGAGGAGAAGTTCCCCCAGTACCTTTTTTGCTTAATTTGGTGCAGCTGATTTATGTTTTGGCAAACCCCAGCTGTTATATTATTTCAAATGTGGAGTGGGTAGATTTCTTACCCTAAAACCACCAACATTTTGTGAACGGAGTGGAGTATGGTCGTTCTATTCTTATGTTTATTTATTCGTTCATAACATTGGGTCTACTGGCCGAACAGTACTCTATTTTAATACTGCAGTATGGGAAAGGAAGTCTCTAGATTCCTAGAAAAAATCAGATAGATAACAGAGAAGTAAAGGTACATAGGAAATAATCAATGACACACTTAACACGTTGGGTGCTGATGACGGGAATTCCCGCAATTGCTTAACATTGAAATAAATGCAACTTTTATGTTCAAACATGTCGACAGCACAAATAGTGTTAAGTGATGTCTAGAGCAAAGTCCAACACCCCCCTCGCCATCATGTACCATGCGCTACAACACTCTCTGTAGAGGAAGATCCCAACAGTGCTGACTGCTTATACAGGGTGAGGCAATGAGAGCACCCCAATTTTCTTTCTCACACATTAGTAAAGCAACAATGAATGAACAGCTGTGCTTATAATACCAATTAAACTATGCCATTTTAGTAAACATTGTGCATGAGGCTGCTCTGACATTTTGATGTGGAAACCTATTTTAAAAAAAGATTATTGAGCAAAAAGATTGTCTGAACCAGATTCCATACTTGGTCAATATGGCACTGATCCAGATCGGAAAAGGAATGGAACCTGGGTAAAATTATTTAGGATAGCAGCTTAAACCCTAAAAATAATCGGTGGGTTACGTAAAACTCTTTTTACTCCAGCAAAAGTTGAAAGAGTGTGAGTCGCAGTAACTCAACGTCCAAAGAGGAAACTTTCGTCTTCGAAAACTTTACGTTTGCTTTTAGCGAATTTCCCTATAGGGAAGTAGCTATTACCGTAGGTGGCATGGTAAGACCTGGGCCCAGGACCGATTTACTGTTTCATTTTGATATTCCCAGAGGCCAAAAACACCATACGTTCACATTTTTATATATATATATGTGTCCGTGAACACGATAACTTGAGTAATTTTTGTCCAACTTTGATTAAATTTGGTCGGACCATGGGAACAGGGGTTTTTTACAAGGGGGTTTTATGGGTAAAAATTGTTTTTTTTCTAATTTTTGACCCTCTAAACACAAAATTTCCCAATTTTTCTCCAGACCTTTTTAAAGAGCTTAAAAAAAGAAATAATTTAGTATATCAAAGTGTTTTTGTACAATTATTGGTTACGGATAAAATTCAAAAAATTGTTATTTTAAAATTCCCATGTTATTCTTATGTGGAATATTGTAAAATGTAGTTTGCTTGTTTATGGATATGCTTTGATCAAACTTGGTAAATTTATTTATTTTATACTAAGTTTAAAACTTTTTACTAAAAAACACACTTTTTTATCCTCTCTCCCTCTCTGTAGCAGCAAGCCTAGATACTCATAAGACTTAAGTTAAATACATTTAATTGAAAATCAATTCAGGCAAATGGAAATTCGCTTAGTCGGCAGGTTTGCTGCAGCGGGAGTATTTTATTCTTTGGGGGTTATTCCGATAAGCTACTTGAAGTTAAACGTTTTTCAAAGTCGCCCACAGATTTGGTTGAATCGAAGCTGATAATTGTACAAGAAACTAAATTGATTCCTGAAGAAATGCTGCAACAAGTATTCAATGGAATTTTTCAAGTGACCAAAAGGAATGTCAAGTGGGACAAGGATGTCACTTGAAGGATTTTGTTTTCAAGAAATGGAACAATGACTTTGTTAAGTTAAAATGGCAAAAGATAAGCTGTGTTTTGATGTGCTATTTATATAGGGTGAATACTGTAGTATTGAATTTGTACTATTTATAAATTGGGGTGCTTTCATTGGATCACCCTGTATTAGGTATTAGCATTGACTATACATAGAATTCTGTGTATAGTCAATGGTAGGCTTTTTGCTTGTCACAAATATATTTCTGGGATATATACCAGAGCTGAAAGTGCATGGTTGTCGGGAATATACTTAAGTGAATACTTACTTAAGTGTAAATGTAAAGTAGGGGCAATAGGACAATATGACCCCACTTTCGGTACGTTTTTCCCATGTTATTCTTATCGGGATTATTTTTGGTAAGTTTTTTTTATAGGCCCTGCTCTCTATACACCCCTGTACAAATGTTGTTCTATACTATTATACAACTCCATAAACATTTCAAAACCAATTAAATGTCAAATGGCGGGCTTGGGTTCCCAAGTAGCCAGAACTCATGGATTTCCACAAAGGATGCCATTTTACCGCGTCACCACTAGAGACGAGAAGTAAGAAGCGGGAGCTTGCTCGTGACCGCGCGGCAGTGCCTATAGGCCTGGAGCGCGCCCGCAGTTCGGGTGCAAAAACCTCGCACTGTCAATTTGATGATTTTGAAAATATACGTTGGAATGGATGTGGATATTAAGATTAACATCCTTACTACTTCAATGGACAAAAGAAAATGTTACAGTACATGTGCTGAGGGTTTTAATATTTAATTTTAGTTATTAAGGGGCCAATTTCCTAACAAAATTCCACAAAAGAAGAGATTTTCTTTTCCTCAAAGTTGGCCCAGCAAGATGGTTGTAGTAAAAACATTATCTGTAATCCTCCAATACAAATATATATCGTTCTATTGGCCTGTCTGTGTGCAATATTTATTTTGAAGTGCTGCGGTAAGATTTGGAATACATTTTAGAATTAGGGACGTAGGCCTAAAAACGAGATTGATTACAGCTTGACAGCCACTACCTCAGGGCAAAATTGTATTCCTCTATACAGTTCATTTAAGTATTTGGATTTGTAGGTTGCCAAAACTATGTTGGTTAAACAAACTAACAAGAAAAACGTGAACAATACACTTCGGTAGCTGAGCAAGGCCACGGTCGCCTTTAACTTCAGGCCGCGGCCTTCGATGTGGTAACGTCGCAAGTAGGGTTGTAACAGCTGTTTTCTTTGGAAGCAGCTGGTGGTATTTTTGTATTTACCAAAGCTTGGTTACTGGAATATGAAAATATTGACCCGCTATAAATGTAAAGATATAGATTTTCAAATGATATTTTTTTTTCATTTCTGTTCATTGGGGTATGTTTTTATTTTCAATATTTTCATAACTTTATGAAATCAATAAAGCGCAATTTAATGAGCTTATGTCATCTGTCTGCCATGTTATCTTATGGGACGTCTGACAGTAAAAAAAGCTGCTTGCGACGTTGCCAATTCTACCAGGCCGCGGCCTCGAATTAAAGGTAGCCGTGGCAAGGCCCCACTAAAAAGTTTTCTATTGGGGCCTTGAGCTTAGAGGTCAAAGAGCTCACCTCTAACAACAAAATAGTTGCAGTTTCGATCCTGAGAAGGGTTTATAGTTTTTTTCGAAACTGGACCCTGTTGTCGATTGTTCGGCTATGTTTAGTAATTAACCTGACATTTGAAACAGCAGATATAAATCGACGTATCTTACGTTTCATTTCTAAAAATGTGTGCCGTAACCATCGATGTATGTAACAGACACAAAGTTACAGCTACAGTAACAATCAGTAATTAAGCTACACATCAAATAATATCACAACAAATCAAATCAAATCAAAACATACTTTATTTCCAAAAAATATGCAGATATAAATATAACACAACTTCCAGTGAACAGACACCCTACTTTGCTATTGCATAGATAAAAATAATTAAATATAAAAATACATAAAAACTTAATAATAACAACAAAGATTGTTCTACATTTGACACATTCTACATTTGATTTATCACTCATAATTGCGTTAAAATACGCAGCTTGGTTGTGCATATTTCTATTAATTATTAATTAAAAATTTATAGTTCACCCTTTTTTATGAGATACATAACTACTGTATCGTATACTAGCTGTAACCCGCGGGCTTTGCCCCGTTTAACTTCTTAATTTTCAAGATGATCTCGTTTGCATGGCTCAATCACGTCCTGGTTGAAGTTCGTTCGCTACGCTCACTCACCTTTAGGTTGGAGCTCGTTCGCTGCGCTCACTTTCCTTCAGGTTAGCTCGTTCGCTACGCTCACTTGCATTCAGGTTAGCTCGTTCGCCACGCTCACTCGCCTCCAGGTTGAAGTTCGTTCGCTACGCTCACTCACCTTTTGGTTGCAAATTAGCTGTTGTCATAAATGTAAAAGAAATAATAGTGCTAGTGCTGCACCCTGTTGGTAATCCTTGTAACTTTAATGCTATTGAACATCACAGAACAGAACCAACTTGTTTAATTGAAACAGCTGTTAAGATTCAATAATTTCATTTCTCATAAGGTTAACATGGGATGGGAAACTCCAGAGCCACTGGGGCGGAGCCCGAAAGGATTTTTGAAATAAGAATATGCCTATATGTTACTCGGGAATGTGAGCTATCATCATGCCAAATTTCAGCCCAATCCGACCAGTATTTTTCGCGTTTACTTTTCCCATTAATACAGCAACCACCTCTTTTAGCGAATTTCCCTATTAGCCCAGTCAATAAATGTTTTTTATCGCAACTAAATGGTGGAAAGCTGGATTTTTTATATGTGATAGAACCACATGAGAGGTGTATTTTCCCAAAAGTCCCCACTTCTACCCCTTGAGCTTTCCCCCCCACCCCCCTCCAAACATAGAAATTGCAGTGATTTACTTAATTGATCATAATTCGAATGTTATGTAAGCTATCGAGCTGCAATTTGTTTTGTTTTATTTCTGATTAGTTTTCCTACAACTTTTGTATTTATAACATTTTTCTAAAACCAATACTTAGGGAGATATAAAATTTAAACTTCGTTAAAAGCTTTGTTACAGAGTGCAAAGTCTTGTTTTTCTCTATGTATAATTTTAAATATAAATAATACGTAAATATGGTTCAAACAAAAGTTTTAGTACGTTTTTCAAGGTTTACAAATATATTATTGGTTAGTCATCTAGGTGACCGGGTGAAGAGCTGAGCGTCGGCAAAGTGAGCGCGTGCGCGCTAGTTGAACACCTCTGCGCTGCGTCATCGCATCTAGCCCAGCCAATAAACGCACCAACTGCCTTTTTTCGTAGCTAAATAGTGGAAAGCTGAGATTGTTATATGTGATAGAACCACTTAAGACATGTATTTTGCTAAAAGTTCCTGATACTCCCCCCCCCCAACCCCTCCAAACCTGGAAATATCAGTTGTTAACTTTACTGGATATAATTCAAATTCTACGCATGCCATGTAGTGAAATTTGGTTTAGTATTATTTATAATTAGTTTATCTACAACTGTTGTACTAAAGATTTTCTTATAAAACTATATCCAAAGAGATATAACGTTTAAAATTTTTTTATAATGTTTATGTTTATGAGTACACAATTTTGTTTTACCCTCTATATGTTTTTTTCCAAATAAAATACGCAAAATGTTACAAACAAAAATTTTAGTATGTTTCTTAAGGTTTATAAATATATATTTGATTAGTCATCAGCATCCGCGCAGCCCTGCCCGTCGATACATAGCCTAATAAGGACCGGCACCGCTAAGTTCTCAACTGTTTTATATAAATCCTAAGACTTCCTAATTTGTAGCCTACATTACTACCAAAACAATCTGTTTCCAAGCTAAACCGTGACTAAATGAATCACCTCACGGTCAGTAAAAATTTTTCGTCGACTCACTAATCCTTGATACAAACTGCGTCCTATCGTTGATATATCCCTCTCTTCACGCTTCCCGCTAGCAAATAAAATATGGCTGCTCTGCCATGAGTTGTAAGCCTGTGTTAAAATAATATCACGAACAACGTAGAAAACTGTCGGTAGTATTTATAAGCCATTTTTAATCATGGTAAGGAACACAAATTAAAACCAGTCAATGTTAAAACTAACTTTTTTATTTAGTCTATATAGAGGAGATTTTAAAACACTTAAGAAGCGCCTTCATCTTTATTAGCGATGTTAAACGTTTGCATAATGTCTACCAAAAACCAATAAAGAACTATTATGCTGACTAATTTTTTAGATAACATGAAAACAATAAAATATTATAGAACAGAACCTCACCAAGATTCACAGTATAGAGTCTCTAAAAATGATTGATCTGGACCACGTATTAGTGCCGTAAAGCAGCTTCGTAATACATTGCTGCCAATTTTTACGAAAAAAACCTCAATTTGATTGACACATCTACACAATATGTTAAGAAATTTGAATAATCTGCCTGTATGTATCCCGTAAATAGTCTTGCCTGCATGTATAGGGACACGAATAGTTTTTTACTTACTTATTTATACATTTTGGATATATGCCTTATTACATTAATTAATTGGAAAGTAAATAAAAGAAAATACGTCTAATAGTCTAACACTTAAAACATAAATTTACACTTATAATGTTACTGACAATACTGTAAATATACATAAAAGATGGTAAGTGGTCGTCGATTTCGATTCGACACTCCAATCATCCTCAGACCCATAGGCGAATTGGATCATCTCATCATTAGGTTCAGTATGTTTCTTACCCAGCTTTATGTAATGTAATATATGTATCCATGTATATTATTGTCAATAGGTTTAGCCATTGACAGAAATAATTAAATAAATTATTATTTTAAATGATAAACGAGTTAAAACCAACAATAAATTTAAGAAATGTACAAATGATTAGGTTTCATCTAATTAGTATTTTTTTCAGTTTACTATTTAGATCTTTACTGACCGCGAGGCGCAGTTAGTATAAATCTTGCGGGGAACAAAGCGAGTCCCATTGGTGGTAGATAATGGAAAGCACATTGTAACGTAAGGAAGAGCAAAGAGTATGTTTATAGTGATTTTTAAAGTGTTTATTAGGCCTAGTGTTCTATACCTCAATCTATCAAGCTTCCGTTGGTCAAATATGAAGAAATCAAGTATTAAAAGTATTGCAAGTATAACAAGTAAGTAGGTAGAGATTAATTTACCTGAACCAAAACTGGTTATAAAAAAATTATTGGGTTCCATCTAAATAATAATTGTTTTTACTGTTAACGGTTAAGCTTGGATACAGATTGTTTTGGTAGTAAACTAAAAAGTACAAGGCCATAGCATTTGTATAAAACCTTTGAGAACTTAGCGATGCCGGTGCCTATGACGCGACGCATCGACGGGCGGTGCTGCGCTGATACATCAGTTTTTTTCAGATGACTAATCCAATATATATTTATAAACCTTAAGAAACATACTTAAGTTTTTGTTTGAAACATTTTGCATATTTTATTTGGGAAGACATATATAGAGGGTAAAACAAAATTGTGTACTCTTAAACATAAACATTGTAAAAAAAGTTTAAATGTTTTATCTCTGTGGATATAGTTTTATAAGAAAATCTTTACTACAACAGTTGTAGATAAACTAATTATAAAAAATACAAATCAAATTTCACTACGATGGCATGCGTAGAATTTGAATTATAACCAGTACAGTGAGCGACTGTAATTTCCAGGTTTGGAGGGGGTTTGGGGGGGGGGGTTGGGGGGGGGGGGAGAATCAGGAACTTTTAGCAAAATACACGTCTTAAGTGGTTCCATCACATATAACAATCTCAGCTTTCCACTATTTAGCTACGAAAAAAGGCAGTTGGTGCGTTTATTGGCTGGGATAGATGCGATGACGCAGCGCAGAGGTGTTCAACTAGCGCGCACGCGCTCACTTTGCCGACGCTCAGCTCTTCACCCGGTCACCTAGATGACTAACCAATAATATATTTGTAAACCTTGAAAAACGTACTAAAACTTTTGTTTGTACCATATTTGCGTATTGTTCATATTTGAAAGTATACATAGAGAAAAACAAGATTTTGCACTCTGAAACAAAGCTTTTAACGAAGTTTAAATTTTCTATCTCCCTAAGTATTGGTTTTAGAAAAATGTTATAAATACAAAGGTTGAAGGAAAACTAATCAGAAATAAAATAAAACAAATTGCAGCTCGATAGCTTACATAACATTTGAATTATGATCAATTAAGTAAATCACTGCAATTTCTATGTTTGGAGGGGGGTGGGGGGGAAAGCTCAAGGGGTAGACGTGGGGACTTTTGGGAAAATACACCTCTCATGTGGTTCTATCACATATAAAAAATCCAGCTTTCCACCATTTAGTTGCGAAAAAGGTTGTTTTATTGCATTCATTGACTGGGCTATATAGGGAAGTAGCTATTACCGTAGGTGGCACGGTAAGACCTAGACCCGGGACCGATTTACTTTTTCATTTTGATGTCCCCAGAGGCCAAAAACACTATTCGTTCAAATTTTAATATATGTATATATATATATATAGACTTATATATATATATATATATATATATATATATATATATATATATATATATATATATACACACGTCCGTGAACGCGATAACTTGAGTAATTTTTGTCCGATTTTGATGAAATTTGGTTTAAAGGTGTAAAGCGTGATAAACTTGAATGAGTTCGCGAACCAGCACGATCGGACCATGGGAACGGGGCTTTACGGGGGGTTTTATGGGGTAAAAATTGGTTTTTCTCACTTTTGACCCTCAAAACACAAAATTTCCCAATTTTTCTTTAGACCTTTTTAAAGAGCTTAAAAAAACAAATAATTGAGTATATAAAAGTATTTTTGTTCGATTATTAGTAATGGAGAAAATTAAAAAAAATTGTAAATTTAAAATTCCCATGTTATTCTTATGGAGAATATTGTCAAATGTTGTAGTTTGCTTGTTTATGAATATATTTTGATCAAACTTGGCAAATTTATTTATTTTGTACTAAGCTATCAATATTTTACTCAAAAACACACTTTATTAGTTTCCTTGTAGCAGCAAACCTAGGTACTCGTTAAACCTAATGTTATTACAATATATATCACTGAAAATCAATTCAGACAAATGGAAATTCGCTTAGTCGGCAGGTTTGCTGCGGCGGGGGTATTTTATAATAGTATAGATTTTCAAACTGCTGTTTGCAATGGCAGAGTCACCATATTACCATAGATTAAACATATGAACTTGCATTAATGGCATGTTCTTAATATTTTTAAAACAAAATAATAATTGTGCTCCCAGCTTCCCATAAGCTTAACTGGTTTATTTATTTAAGTTTTAGTTATTGAGTGGATGATGTATTGCAGTTTGTAATTCAACTTGATATAGTATACACATTAGTTTTCATTGTGAGTTTTTTTTTACTATGAGATTTACTTTTCCAAACTCCTCTCTTTCCGGCTAGACAACTGTTGGTCTCCTATTGGCCGATGTTCTGTAGTATAGTAATTACAATAATTGAGGAGAATATCAGTTGTAATAATTGAATTACACCGGTATCCGGTAAGATTTAGGGAATAAAGAGAAGTTAGTGAAACTCCACAGCAGAATCGTGTTTCCTTTAAAGGTAATTTAGTTTTAAAAACATCTTTTGTCTAGGTTTACGCCCTGTAGTATGCCTATCGATAAGACTATAATCCTGAATAAACATCACATCACAAGGGAGTTCCTGCCTCACAACTCAAGCTTAGGGCTAGGCTTAATTTTTAGTCCCTTGCAAATATTGTCTACTCATCATTAGTTAATTTGAGAAATAATCCTTTGTAGTCGTTATTTTTTAGTGGAAATTTTTGCGATGAGGGTGACCAAGAGTACTAGGCTTATAGTAATTTAGGCCTATATAGCCTAGGCCTAGGCTAGGCCTATCATTACAAACAATTTTTAGCCTACCTGAAAACAATAGTGCAAAAACTTTTCTGCTGTCACAAGACTGAATTAACCCTAGCAGTGGCTAATGTTAGAAGTGGGGAATGGCCAACCCATTTTGGCGATTTTGCAGACCATTTTTTGAAAATTCGTAAAAATTCAACCGTACAAGTAAACCTAGCCAACCTCATATTCATTTTGTTCGGAAAGAACAGGAGAATCTAGAAATAGTAATATCATAATGATTTAGACAGTGTATTTTATCGGTAAAGTGAAAAAAATAAAAAAAAATTGAATTTTTTTTTTGAAATTTCAAAAGCGGCCTCTGCATTTTTTTTCTACAGATTTTTTTATGGGAAATTCATTATATACATTTTGTAGACAATCTAATTCCCTACATAGAAATATATAGCCTAACATGTTAGGAAAATATTTTTTTTTATAAGTTTTTGGGGCGAAATATAATGACAAACGGAGAATCGAAAAAATTGAAAGCCGTGCAGTGTTAGTTTATGTTGTAAAAAGTTCTATAATATATGTGTATACTAATAATGATATATAGGCCTACATGTTTGTAAAGCTAATGAAGTAAGGAATCAAAAAAAGTCATAAAGTTTATGGTAAAAATAATTTTTTACCTATAAACATACGTATATAAAATAATGTTTTTATATTTTAGCGATTTCTCGAGAAAAAAATTCACAGTACTTAGTATACAACTTTTGTACCAAATTTGTTTACTTCAAACCAACATAATAATCTTGTAGTGTATTCAATTACCTACATAAAAATGTATAACATGTTAGAAATATTTTTTTTTTGTAGGTACGTAATAGGGACATAATAATACAATAACCGCAAAACCGCAAATAAGTGTAAACTATAGCCTACAGTGTTTGCTTGTGTTGTGAAACATTATGTAGGCTGATGATATGTAGCCTACATATTTGTAAAGCTAATGAAGTAAGGAATCCAAAAAAGTCATAAGTATGATGGTAAAAAGTTATTTTCTCCTATGATTATGTATCAATTTGAGAACGTTTTGAATTTTTTGCGCATTTCGAGAAAATAGAGTGTACAGTATTTAGTAGCCTATATAATTTTTTTACCAAATTTTTTACACCCAAACCAATATAAACATGTTGTAGTGTATTTATTTACCTTTATAAAAATGTATAACACATTGGGTAAATCATTATATAGCATATATAGCACCTCTGAATGTCAGAATCGTCATTTTTGAACATGATGCTAACAAAATACAGTAGTAGGCCTATTTAGTATAGGCTATAACTTTTTTACAAAATTTTTTACCCCCAAACCATTATAAACATGTTGTAGTATATTCATTTACCTTTATAAAAATGTATAACACCTTGGGTATATCATTATATAGGTACAACAATCTCTGAATGTCAGAATCGTCATTTTAGGACATGATGCTAACAAAATACAACCTTTTATGAACACTATTTCACACAATTCAGTAATATTTATGCATGAAGATTAGCCTACTGTTATACACACACACACAACACTTTACTGACACTAACACTACGAACTAATAACATATTTAGTAATAAATCGCGGATAAAACTATTACCGGCAACAACACAAACAAACAATGGCAATACAAGACAGCTGACAGACTGTAGCAGTAATGACTCACTTGTCGTCTACATGCGAGCATACAGAAATAACCCTGAGTGCAGGGCTGCCACTCTCTGAATCTAAATTTCTTCCTCTTCAAAATGATATACTATATGACTAGTAATAATAACTTTCACTGTATATAATTCGTATTTTCCATACTGTCACCAGACGACTGTTGGCCATTTGTTAGAAATTTCGAAAACAGCTGTTTTCATAAAATCGCACCGATTGTGCAATCAATATTTAGTTATAAATATCACTACCACAATGAAGATAAAATCAATGGCTATCCAGTGGTACCACCCGCAACATCCCAAGACGAAAATTACCCGAGCAGGGTAATGCCAAACAAGACGTGTTTTGCCAGTTCCCAAGTGTCGGCTGCAAAAGTCGTACCGCGCCAAAATTTCATTTGATTTCTAATCGTCGTGACATTGTTATATACCTGCTACAGGGTTTGTTTATGTAATCAAATGAAAGTTCAGAATGTGATCTTTCGAATGGTATATATAATATTCTCATCTGAGTTGATTGTAAGTGTTTTTTTACCGTTAAAAAAATTTCGGCCCATACCGTCACCAGACGACATTGGCCATTCTAAGCATCAACGTCATACCGTCACCAGGCGACGGTTGGCCACTGCTAGGGTTAACTATAGCCTACGATTTTTTGAATTTTATTACTGTAATGCCTCTTGTCGGTTGGTCTCTGTCGTTAAGTTTAGCCTATAGCCTACAAAGAGGTAGAGAGGCATTTTTGTAAATTCAACTGAACGTTGATTTACGGACTAAGTTACTTCAGTTCTTATTTGGACATGGGCTGTGAGGTAGGTCGGTTGGGTGTTATGCGGATTCGTGACTGTAGCCTATTAAGTTAAGTGTTTGAAGTTAGGTTAGATTAGGAAGGTAAAGTTTAGGGTATAATGAATTGTGTTGTTGATTTAAGTCATGTTATCTTCAGTGTTAAATTCTGTTCTTAAAATAAAATTATAAATGCCAAAAATTTGAAGAAAAGAAGTGCAGTTAAGAAGAAATGGCAGTCAAAGCAAAATCTGTTACAAAAAGTTAATGTTACCGATGGGATTTGAACCAGGAACCTAACTTATTGCATATTAGCCGAGCACTACTCCACGGAACACCGATGGCTGTACATTGTATGGTTGTGGTAATGGCGTTCCGGGCCCCCACGACCCGGTGACGTCACTGCCGGACGTGTATCCTCTGTGTATCTTCAGACTGTTTTTGTACTTAGTAAGGCCTAAAAGCTAGCCTATTATCTTTATTTTCAGGGAATCAAAGATGATTGAACTAAATCATTGTTAGGCCTTGTTCAGAGTCCCTATTAGCCTATCTAACTTACGTCAGTGGCATTTAACGTTTTGAAAGGGAGGAAACGGTTCAAACCCTGGTCTTGTTACCATCTAACGCCAACCTTTTTGTTAGATAGCATCATTGACTTAATTCATAGCCCAATGGCATCTGGGTCCGGAAACGATCTCACTTGGAATCTGACTAGCGGCCTTCAGATTTGAAGGCGAGCACTATAACTATTCGGCTACCTAGACAATTAAGTTATAAGGTCACCGGTACTCATAACTTAAGTCAAGTTAGCCCACGAACACAAGGAAAATACCGGTATGGATCATAAACATAAACAAATGACGTTGTTGGCCCGAATCCTATACTAATAGCATGGAACATATGTTTTGGCAGTTCCATTTAAGCAATGTTAAATCATGTTTATTTTTGGGCCAAAAACGTCATTTGTTTATATTTTTGATCCATACCGGTATTTTTCTAGTATTCGTGAGTTAGCCTAGTCAGTAAGTTAAACTTAAACTACTTGTAAGTATAGGCCTTGGCTTGGCTATGTTAAAAATACTTATTGACTAATCACCGTTTTTTTTGTTTTGCAGATGAGATTGATAGGCCTAACCTGCTTATTGTTTCTATGTGGCGTGGCTCTAGTCAAATGTAATGACGGTGAAGCATCGGTGGAAGTAGATGACTCTGATGAGGTTGGTAACCTTATTATTATACAAGGCTGGTGTTTGGATTTCTTTTTTTTTGCTGTAAATTGTGTTTCCTAGGACGCTCAATTACTTCTAGGGCGCTCAATTAATTTAGGGTGTTTTTCTACTAAAATTTGCAACTAGGAAATTTGTTAAGATTAAGATATTGATCGGTACCTACGTAACTTATTACAGTAGAAACTCGCTAGTCCGTCACCTATGGGACCAGGAGCATGGTCGGAACAGCAAAAAAATGTCGGATTATCAGAGGACCGTGTTTATTGACACATTAGAGTCCCGCAAACTCGGCACTCGATAACCCGGCAGTCTGGATAACTCGGCCATCACCTGGCTCAGAAAATTACTTAGTGATTTTTTGAGTCCGAGTTCAACATGTACTCAAGCCAGCTCAAGTAAAATCATTTACAACTCGTACCAAGGATTTATTGTACAATATCTGATGACTTAATCCTGACTTGTAATATAAATATAAATAACAATGACAGCTAAAAGGCTTAAAAATTGTATTGTTCTCATTTTTTTAACCCTAGTTCCCAATAACCCGGCATTTCACAAACTTGGCACCCTTCGAGTCCACATTACGCCAAGTTTGCGGGACTCTACCGTAGTAAAACCGTATGTAGAACAGACCATGGATAACTAATAAACACGGTTAATCCAACATGACATTAAACAGTTATTTCTAACTCATACAATTCCTAATATTAACTGTATATAAATTGACTTTAAATTTAGAATTTGCATTTGCATATTACAATATAAAAATACAATTAGTAGGCTATTGCGCAATCATGATGATTAGGCCTATGTTATGTCATTAACCTTGGTTCAGTAATAAAAACTGTAACGTTCAAAATCACAGCTTTTTCAAACTTTTATTCAAACAAACAAATTGCCAAATATTGTACAGCTAAGTAAATAAACGGTATCAGCATTCTGACACATACTTTCTCCCATAAGTTTGTCAACAACCTTTATCATGTGTAAGCGGTGAGATTAAATATACGGAAATGGGATTTGTACAATTTTCTTCAGAATTTAAAGGACTAGGCCTATAAGATACTAAATTTTTATCAAAATCGTTCGAGCCAATTAATTTTGGGGAAACCTGATTGTCCGTTATTTTATGGGGTTTTTATGGGAAAATAACATGATTTACAATAACTTTTGAACTGTAATTTTTACAGAGATGGGATTTGTACCATTTTGTTCAGAATATAAAGGACTATAACATACTAAATTTTTTATCAAAATTTTTTCGGGCCGTTTTTGAGAAAATCCGATTTTTCCGGTTTTTTATAAGTTTTTATTGGAAAATCCCCATTAAAAATCAAAATTGATAAAAAATTAAAAAAAAACTATCAAAATTGTAAGGACCATACCATACTATCACTATGTTAAATCAAAACTGGATTTTTATCCAAAATCCTATTTTTTGTTACTTTATGGGGTTTTTATGGGAAAATAACATAATTTACCATAACTTTTGAACCGTAATTTTTACTGCTTATTCTTTCTCTTTGTTCTTCTATTCTTTCTTGAGTTTCTCTTTATCTACCCACTCAACAAGTTGCTATAGTTATTATTTACTAATCACCCAATCACAGGCTACTAAAGTTGTCATGACCAAATACCCAATCACAAAATGTAGTGAGATAGCAAGCGCACAGCAGACAGATGTGTCATGTGTAGGCCTTGAGAAGTAGACAATTGTCAGTGCAAATGGATAGCTTGACCTTGAAGCTTTGATCGACATTCCATTGTTTTACTTCCATTTTATTTTTGTCAAATGAACTGTGATTTTTCAAAAACAATAATGTGGGGGCCTAGGGCCAACTTATTAATAATGGGCAGAAACTGTTAAATATATACAACAAATTTCAACACATTAGACTAAAAAAACCCAATTTATAAAGTTTACTAGGTATTTTTCTTGGGACGCGTTGCAGAAAGTCAACAGTCCCGGAAGGTCAAATAATTTAAACCTGTGCCGCTAGGTCAAAAACTACAATGTTTGCAGTGTCTGTAGATCAAAAATCCCAGAAAGTCAAATAGTACAGTCCGGGCTAAAAGTTTAGTCTATTTTAAAGCAATTGACTTATTGGGAATTTGACTTAATGCAACAGCAGTTTTAATATAACGAAATAAGATAAAATATAAGTTCAGTTTCGCTGAGTCAACAGTGCCGGAAGGTCAAAAGTATAATCTGTTAAAAACAACGATAGTCCTCTCGACGCATGTCTTCAATAATTTCGTGTTTTGGTGTTCTTAAAGTTGTGCTAAAATTTTGAAATTTGGCACAGAGCTTCTTGGTTAGTCCTACTCGATGACTATTTTGTTGGAACTTTAAACTATTTACCGATCTAATTAATAAAAAATGATTTGTATGGTGAAATAGTTTTAAATCGTGATTTCTAACATGAAAAAGTTAGCATGCGAGATTTTTTTTTGTTTTTGGGTTAGAGAGGTTTTGTCTGTGGCAAAGTTGTAGCCAAAAGTGTAATGCGTAAAATATATTTTTTTGAATTTTTTACAATCAGTGGTTCAGTAGATAACTTGGGTTGAAGAGGACGGCAAATGTAGCATTTCGCAACGCATGGAAAGAACTACATCGTACGATGCGACTGCTGAGTGGACTTTTAATTTATCTAATTTAATTTATCTAAGGACAAGAAAAAGGTGAATATACAGATCACCAGTACATTCATATTATTTATAAAACATCTTTCTTTATTACCAGCTAACATTTTTCACTTATAAGAATACATCATAAACAGGGTGTTAAAATAAGCGGGGAGATACTTTACCTAGTAATTCCTTGGGTCAAAATAAACAGAAAATCAAGGATAACATTTTTTCCAAAATAATTTCGTTAACCAGATATCCGCCATTTTGTATTTTTTACATACAAATATTTATCTTTGCACTTTTCCAACCGATGTTTATCAAACTTGGTATGTATGTTAAGGTAGGAGAGACCCATGTTATAAACAAAGATTCATCTCGATTCACCCTAAAATTTCAAAATTTAACACTTAACTACAATATAATATACTCTACTACACCACAATATTTACGTATCACCATAAATCTTTAACAAAATAAAACGTTAACATTTTTAAAAACCAAAGTAAATCAATATAATATTTCTTTTTTGAAAAATATATTTAAAAAACAGGCGATGGTAAAATAACGACAGGCGAGTTTCGATCTGGGTGTTTCAGGTTTGAATCTAGGAGGATTTAACATTAATTAACATTAATGTTTAATCCTCCTAGGTTTGAACTGATTGAGAGGAATACATGAAACCGAAGGGGGGAGGTAGCAACAAGTGCACTAGTATTTACTAGTGTCCAATTACAATTTGATGGATTTAACCAAAACCTTTTCTATTTCACTTATTTTCAGCTGTTAAATTTCAAACGATACGTTTTAGCGACATCATTAACGTTATTATCATCATCCTCGTTTGAGTTTGGGTTTGCAGCAATGTATTTTTATGAATAAAACCTTTAATTTGATACCAAACTTGACCTCTGCTGCTATTAATTGACTGTATGCACTATTAATTAACAGCTGTGTCTAAGGATTATGTCGGCCTTAGTCACAAACAGGACAACAAGATCGCTCCACTCATCCCACACTCATCTCCATTCATACTTGGCTTAAAATGCATACATTTTGTATGGTCGCCATTTCAAAGCAACATGGCTACATTATCAATGACAAACGTGGAAAACCTTATACGAGTGTGAGTAAGTCCGAAAACAACTCTAAAAAACAATAAGCAATAAATTGCAAGAACCGTTGCTTATATCATTGGGTATACACGTATGTACTGACGTGTATACTCAATGCTTATATCGAACGAATGTACATCGTGAGAATTTCCATTAGTTGTTCCATTTAGTTGTGTGTCCATTAGTATAATAGTTTAGTTGACTCTTTTAAAGTCAGCGGAAATTGTGACTGTTATTACCCTTGAAATAATGTTTGTGTAGTACTTTGCAATCCTACCAATGCTTATAGAATCATACGATTACAATATTCTGGCTAGAATATGTCGCATAGAGTGGTGACTACTGTATCTTTTTGGTTTGCTTGTAAAACAGGATCAACAGAGATTTTCCATCGACTTAAACAATACGATAGGTACTCTCAAACTGTTCATTGCTATAACAAACTATCACACAGTTTGATGAATATTTGTGTGTAAACCACATACAGTACACCTGTAGTCTATCTATTTTTCCTTTTATTTTCCAAGACTTTATAGAAAATCACGCATTACGTGATCAGTGAAGAAAGGTGTCAACCTTGTTTTATAGGTAAAGAAGAACACTGCTTCATGTCAGAGCATTCAGTTATCTTTCAGTTATCATTCAGTTTACCAAATATTTGGTGAGAATTGTAAATGCTAGTCGACCTGTACCTACCCTTCTAGACCTGTACGTAAAAAGAAATGTACTGTACACTGTTTAAGCTCGTCAATTGTACTCTGGATGAATGGGCAAGAGATAAGAGGGGCCCAATCAGCTGTTTGATAACGGTATTCGTGCGGTTTACTATTTGAGTTTCCTCGTTCATAATTCTACTATAGGCTTTATTTCTGCATAATACAACCGACTTGCTTGCCCGTAAAATATTTGGGATTGAAACTGTTTAATAGTAATAGTATTCATTAACGTATTATTATTAAATTTCTTGTTGTCCTATTATTCAACAGCGACTCGAAAACCCTTGTTTCTCTGTAGTACAGCAATATTGTTACGCACAAGTATTAAGATTGTTTAATACTGACATTGCATTATTATATTTTAATTTGAGCCTAATTACGACGGTCTACGTACTCGTTATTAGTGATATAGTAACATTGTTTATTATCATATTGTTGTATTACACGAAAGACATTAATTTACGACGATCCTTCGGCTTACATATTATTGGATCATTTGTTTACGTATCACGATTGTAAACGTTGATTG